TAGATAGATAGATAGATAGATAGATAGATAGATAGATAGATAGATAGGTAGATAGATAGATAGATGCTATGAACTGAACTCCGGCCTCGCTGACCCCTGACCTCTTACCCCTTTGTATTCATTTAAGATTGTGGAGAAACTTTATTTATTTTTGTGAAGAAAAAACTGGGAAATTTTCACCTGAATTATTAAAGAAATCACGTTTCACAACCAAAAATGTAAAGATGGATGGATGGATAGATAAATAGATAGATAGATAGATAGATAGATAGATAGATAGATAGATAGATAGATAGATAGATAGATAGATAGATAGATAGATAGTTTATTGATCCCCAAGGGGAAATTCAGGGAGACAGGGAGCTATAAATTTAGGAATAAGGGTATTTTCTAGTGATTTTTGTGTGTAAGTAAATGGACTGGAGTGAAGTTATAGCCTCAAAGTACAAAGTACAAGTACAAGTCGGCCATGTTTGATCCTTTTGTGCTTTACTATGTCCCCAGAACCAAACCACCACCAGACTCTGACACTGTGGACAGGTCCCAGAGTTCAGAGTTCAGAGTTCAGGCTCAGAGTCTGCTCACCTGTATCCGTGGATGATGACTTTGGTGGGGTGGGAGGTGTTGAAAGCGGAGGTCCTGTTGCCGAGGGCCTCTGGCTGGAACCGCTGGGCGCAGTCCAGGTTTCTCCTGGTCAGCAGCAGGACCTGGACCTGCAGTTTGCCCCGCTGCTGCCGGTACTCCAGCCACGTGCTGTTGTTCAGCTCCGCGCACTCATCGCCTCCCGCTGGTTTTCCAGACAAACCTGACAGACGCCAAAAAGGATCCGACTTCAGCTAAAGTGGCGCAAAATCCCACGCCCTGGGAGGGGTCAGTCAACGCACCGTGACCCGGAGTCCTCTGATTGACACAGTGCCAAAAATAATCTGCTAAATCCTCTTTTTATATCTTATACAATTCCCATTAATGAAGTCAGAGCTCTACAGTGCCTTCTATAAGGCAACAAAATAGCCTTCAACAATTTTCGCAATAGCCTTTAAAAGCTATTTTATAGTCTTTATTTGACTGATCTGACTTGATAAAATAGAATTTCTCAACTTTTTGGGTTGAAGAGGAACCTCTGGTGTGAACTTTTATGTGAGAGACATCATTTTTATTCTAATCTGTTCTGGTTTTATGTGTTTAAGTCATTGGATTTCAGTCAGGTTTAATTCTGTGCATTTGTTGAGTCTTAACTTGTTAGAGTTTAGGTTTGTTTTCTAATTATTTCCCGATTTTTGACGGCTTTTTGTGTACAGATGGTTGTTTCTTTTTTTAGCTCCTTGGTTGGTGCATCCTCACCTGTCTCAGTCTCTGATTCATTGTATTTACGCTCCTTGGTTTTCAGCACATTCAAAATGCTCGATTGCTTGTTTAATTTTTTCTCTTTTGCATTGTTAGTCCTGGGCTAGATGAGTCTGTTGTGTAGTTGTTCTGCTTTAGACCGTTCACCAGTCAAGTTTTCCATCCGCCTCCGGCCTGCTGATCTGCATCTGGGCCCCCGTCTCTGTTCTTGTTTGAGCTGATTTTTTCTGTTGCATTTCCCTGTTTTTGTCATTGCACGTCTGTCTCTGACCAAATTGATTTAGTTCCACCCACTTCAAATTTACATTCTCACCATTTCAATCTTCCGTCTGCTTTGTTTTGTGGTTCAATTTTATACCTTCATTCTGTTTTTTTCAGTGTTTTCAAATATAATTCCAGCCAAATTTCCAGTAAGCTGTTTTATCAACTTATTTAGCAGATTATAAGAGAAAAAAACTTTCCATTTCAGGTTTAGGAACCAAAAATAACTGTCTGGGATACAGATCCAAGAGCCCCCAGTTTGTAAAACTACAGCCAACTGCTGGTTTCAGCCTCAGCCACTCAGCTTTTCTGTTTACGGCTGAGATTTACCATCTGAATGGATCTGAGCGGCGAGGCGTTCTCACAAACACGCATGTAAATGATCTGGGAAGGAGAGCGGGCTGAGCAGAGCAGAGCTGGGCTGAGTTTCTGTCAACAGGCTTCCTTTTAGGCCTTATTTATAGAGTTAACAGAGACAATTGGACTGCAAAATAAAGTAAGGAAGCAACCTTTTCCATTAGAAAAGGATTGTAATTAGAATGAATTAGTTCCTTAAAGTCTAGGAAATCTCATACAAAGACAGGCATTGGCAGCTATTGGAGCAAGAGTGGTGCCCCCCCCCCACCTCCCAACCCCCCCACCTCCCGCCTACTCATTTCTGATTCATCATGAAATACTTCATTTCTGAAGTGAAGCTACAAAAAACACTATTTTGTACAGTCAGAATAACATTTTTCCCTCCCCATTTGTGAAAATGGACTGAATATAAACGGTTTTAAATGGTTCTTTGTAATGAGCAGTCGAGCAGTGGTCAGTAATCCCTCCCTCATGTTTTCCCATGGACTCTGTTCCCTTTTTTTTCAGTTTTTCAGAGGCAACTTTAGACTCGTTAAAACCACTACGCACTCAGAGCCGAGCGAGTTTTTCTTTCCCCTTACTTACCCGCCACCTGCGAGGAGACGTAGAGCGAGAAAACAATGAAGAGGAGGGCTTTGTGCTTCCAAGGCATGTCTGGAGGAGCGGAGCAGGGAATGGGGTTGAGGATCTGCCAGAGAGCCTTTGGTCGGTGCTTAACAGAGCTCAGCTGCTCCGCTTTAGCCCCCCAGATTGGTGGAAGGAGTAAATCCCAACTCAGCTTTTTTGTTTTTTTTTGCAGACATCAGGCAAGGCGAGTCCACAAACAAGACTCAGGGTTCTTTTCTTGTAGCGTATCCACAACAAACCTCTCTCCTAGAGTTTTTCCCTTTGCTCGTCACAGCCATCGCATTCACTGCCGGGTGATTTTCTCTGTTTTTTTTTTTATTGGCCCAGGCTGCGTTTTGTACTGAGCCAACACAGTGATTGGTAGGTCTTTGCCTGGTGGTGAATCCATGACCTCGTTTTGTGTTCAATGGCTATTTGTTTAAAAAATGCTGGACTCTTGCCTGGATGTGTGTGTGGGTGGTGAGCTTATATACCTTGTGTCTCTGTGCCGGTGGGGTTTTTTTTTTTTTTAGAGCAGGAGTGTCAAAGAAATTTAGCAGAGGTCAGTGAAAAACCAATAATCAGCTTAGAGACTGTTGTGTGAATGCTGTATTATGTAATCGGTGCTCCGTGTTAAAACAAAAAAAAACACCTTAGCTTCAGTTTGTAATTTCATTCCTTGACAAACAGGCTGATTTTCCCCTAAAAAATGTGGCTTCAGGTTGAAATTAAACCCTTGACATCATGGCCGTCCCCACGCATGACCGCATGGCCACACAATCCCTCTAATAACTGGTATGAATACGCACAGAACCGTAATCCGCTGAAAAGAGGTCAAGGGAACGCGCTACAGCTGCCAAACCTGTCATAATATGTGATTTAGGGCTTAATAATGCTGGAGAGTTTGTTGGAAAAATAGGGGAATATGTTGTTAATGTAACTATAGCTCCGGATCAAACACTTTTTAGGGTATTTATTCATAATAGTGTGAAAAATTGAAGGTGAGAAACTGAAGTCAATAATGTGAATATTGATTATATAGGATTATTAGAAACAAAACTTTAAAAATGTGCATTAAAATCTCACGGCTGAATGAATATTTTAGGATTTTTACAAATTTACACAATCAAACATATCATTTAATGAGATTTAAAGTTAGAAAAAAGTGTCCGCACACACACTCACTATAATAACCAGCTCAGCTAATTTAATAGCAATAAAACACAATATTGCAAATAACAGACAATTATTTTAAATTAAATCCCTATCAAGCCAAATCCATATCAATGAGTTCAATTTAGTCAATTTCATATGGAACCAATTCAAATAAAATAGACAAATGCTAAATACTCTTGGATTCAGTCAGTGTCAGTCAGTCTGATTTTTATTTTTCGCCAATGGTTGTATTAATACTCATGTAAAGTCTAATTCTGCCCTCAGACAGCCAACACCATGAAAAAAGCTCAAGGAATGCATGAGTGGATCCCTTACTTAAAGAAAAAAAAACGTCTTAATGTGTGGAACCAACTATTTTTGATATAATTAGACCATTTATAGGCCAACAAATGAAAAGCCAGAAAGATGTTCCCAGTATATACTTTATTAGTACACAGCAGTAAACACAGTAGTTTTTAAAGATATTCACAGGCCTAACCTTGTCTTACTCACGTACTGGGACTTATGTTCAACCTCCCTGATTTTACACCAGTGTTATCAAAGTTTCTGTTTTTCTGTGAGGCAACAATTAGAAATAAAACAAAAGCAGCGGAAACTGCCCTCCAACTGGGACTGTTGGAGGCTAATTAAGCAAAGACATCTACCGAAATCCCTCAAACGCAGCTTTAAATGAACGCTTCTAGAAGACTCCTTCACATTTCCGTTATTGCGCGAAAACACAATCGATTTTACACCAGTGTTATCAAAGTTTCTGTTTTTCTGTGAAGCCACAATTAGAAATAAAACAAAAGCAGCTGAAATGGTCCTCCAACTGGGACGGTTGGAGGCTAATTAAGCAAAGACATCTATTAAAATCCCTCAAACGCAGCTTTAAATGAACGCTTCTAGAAGACTCCTTCACATTTCCGCGATTGCGCGAAAACCCAATCGCGCAAAAAGCAGTTGTTTCTGGTTCCGGGCGGCTACCGGAGGTGGTGTGGACCTCTCATTTAGAAAGTATCCGCTCCCTCTCCCCGGGCAGCTTCGAGGCGAGCCACTCGGTGGTGCGTTTGCGGGCCTCGTCCCAGCCGTGTCTGGGCTCGTACCCCAGGTCTTTCTTGGCCTTCTGGTAGGAGAAGGTGAAGGTGGTGTTGAGCATGGTGAGCAGCTGCCGGTTCAGGGGCGGCACCACGCGGATAAAGGGCCGGATCACCGCGCACAGCGCCTCCATGAGGAGGCAGAACAGGTAGAAGACGGGCAGAGGCACCAGGGGTTTCTCCGGGATGCCGAAGCCCAGAGGCCGCATCACCACGTGGTTAAAGTCCGAGTAGCTGACGGGCGGCGTGTCGTCCGAAACGAAGTAGAACTTCCCCCCGACGGAGCTCCTCCTGCGGGGGTCCCGGAGGCTGCGGGCGGCCTGGAGGTGGGCGGCCGCCACGTTGCCCACGTAGACGGGGTTGACCAGGGCGCCCCTCGCCGACATGCGGTACAGGACCCCCCCGGCCCGGACCCCGTCGGCCATGTGGCCCAGCAGGAAGCGGCAGCCCTCCCCGTAGATGTACATGGGCCGCAGGGCGCAGGTGGCCAGCCGGGAGCCGTCCGGCAGAAGCTCGCCGTGGGCCCGCAGGGTCCTGTCCTCGGCCTCCTTCTTGGTCTTGCTGTAGTTGAACTTGAGGCGGCTGTCGTAGGGCGTGTCCTCGCCGCCGTCCACGATGGGATCGCCCCGCGGGTTGGGCCCCATCACCTCCACCGTGCTGGTGTAGATGAAGGAGGTCACGTTCTCCTGGACGCACGCCTCCAGGAGCAGCTGCGTTCCTGAAAAGCGAAAAGACGCTCAGAGGTGTTAGGATGTATAAATTGTCGACTACTCTGAAGTGAATCGGAGGAAGCTCTGCTCATCACAAAGCTGGGTGAAAACCTCAAGAATCCAAAGCCACATGAGTTACAAAGCAGGACAAGTTATAGTGTAAGTATTGTTTATGTGCATCATGGGATCAGAGGAGGTTAGCATGCTGAATTTCGTCCCTTTTGAATATAAAATGACTCTGGATTGGAGTCCCTTTTTCAAAGCAGATGTCTGCACACTGGGCCGACTCCCTCCTCAAAAGTCGATATACAACAGTACGAAAAAAAAAAGGGTTATGAGCAGGGTTCGAAATTTGTGCGAATTTGGTTTTAGCCAGCAGGGCTAACAGCTCTGAAAAGGTGTTAGCTAGCTCACCAAAGTAGCCTGATCGGTACTATTATGTCAAGTGGGCTCAAGCATACTATATCCGGATATTTCCTCACAGCCTCGCCTCATATTAGGTGATATAATATAATATAATACAATATAATACAATACAATACAATACAATCTAATCTAATCTAATCTAATCTAATCGAATCTAATCTAATCTAATCTAATCTAATCTAATCTAATCAAATCTAATCTAATCTAATCTAATCTAATCTAATCTAATATAACAAAAATGTTTTCAGTTCCTCTCGCTTGGCAGCGCATCATGCCTCGAACGATTTTATAAAAATTATGATAAACTGCAAGATAAAATGGCGGGACAACGAATTTCAAATGGAAATGTATTTTTTTTGTTGATTCCCTGTTTATTTAGCATGTATTTGATTTAAAAACTTAATTTGCCAACCTGTCATACCCCTCAGAGCTGAGGACACGACAGGCTAACAACTTTTGATTTTCTCACGCCCGGACAATAAAGGTGGAAAGGTCAATTCGTACCCTGGTTACGAGTGTCATTCTACTTTAACATTACGCCCAGGCTCCCGTTTGGGAAATCCTAAATCAGGTCCGCCAGAGTCTGAGGGCCGACGTCCTGCAGGTTTTAAACATTTTCCTGCTTCTGATTCAAATTGTCTCTGCAAAATTTTTTTACTGAGCTCTGCACAGGCCCGCTAACGGGCTAACTGTGAGGGAGCAGGGAAGCCTCTGGGTTTGATCCCTTATTTAATACAGAATGATTCCTTATCTCTGTGTATTTGGCATGACGTCGTAGATGAATTCAGCTTAAAGGGTGTGAAGCCTGACCTGTGACGTTGACCCCGAACATTTCGCTGTACTCCACCGAGTCGGTCACATCGATGATGGACGCGATGTGGAAGACGGTGGACGCTCCTCGACAGGCCTTTCTGAGGAAGACGCCGTCCCTGATGTCCCCCTCGTACGCGGACAGTTTCGTCTCGCCTCTACAGTCTGAAACACAGTGATCCGTCAACAGAAGCAGTTAAATCAATCTAATTTTGTCACGTGTAAAAGCGGGAGACCGTTTTCTCCAAATATTTCAAGCCCGATTGTAAATCTGAAAACATTTTGTGGCTTTTTAAAATGAAAAGACCCATTTTATTTGATTATCACTGTGAAGAATCACCTCCTTTTTCTGAAGAGAGAGTTTGGGTGATTAAGCACTGTGAAAATCAAATAAAAAACTGATTTTTATTTACCTCTCAACTATTCAGTCTCTCTCTTTTTTACCCAGTTGTGTTACAAAGGGGAAGAATTACACTTCATTTTCAGCATTTAAGGTTGACTTTGTGCAATACCTAAACATGTGGTATAATGTGATTTAAACTGATTTCAATTTAAGCTTGAACACATTTGGAACTAAGTCTAAATGTAATTTATTCCACTCAAGGTAAGCGTTGAGGATTAAATAAGGAAAAAATGATGGAACTTGATGTTTCTGTTAGGTCCGTAAGGCAAAGTGAACTTTTCCTAAACCTGTGGAATCCTCACATCACTTCAGATAGTTTGATGTCAGAAATCAGGGGAAGAATTTTACCCTCCAGGCTCTGTAGCACATCCAGCCGTACGTTTTTGTCCAGCAGTCGTATCTCGGCCGTTTTCTCCTCCTCGAGCAGCAGCCTCACCAGCCTCTTTCCCAGGAATCCACAGGCTCCGGTCACCACACACACTTCACCTCTCAGGGACATGGTAGGTTAATGTGGCTGTCGCGAAGAAAAGGAAAAAAAAAAACGGCCGACCTCTCTCTGAGAGCCCCACTCTCTTTTTTTATCCGTCCTCTCAGCAAGTGGCTAAAAAATGAAACCAGCAGGAGGATCAAATGGAGGATTCCCGGGTGTTTTCTGATCTGTCGGTGGGAGAGGAGAAACACCTTCTGCCCTCACAGCCTCCACCGCTCCTCTTTTTGTAAGCTCAGAAAAAGTTACTAAAGAAAAAAAAAAAAAACGTATTATTTGCTCCAAGGCAGTGTGGGGAAAAAAGGGGCTGGGCTCCACTGCTTCAGGGAGGAATGTTTTCTGCTGCTAAATAGAACAAAAGATGCAACAACTCACAGAAAAATACATTTAAGGGTTGTTTGATGAGACTAGTTCAATTGCTCAAACATTTTCCTTAAAAGTATCCTTGTTAAAGCCAATTTGGATATCAACATTTTGATGAATACTTTAATTTCTGATGTTTGAGGATGTGTGTTTTAATGTGATAAATCAACTGTTGGGCATTACCCTTCTTTACATAGTGATTTGAATTAGATTCTATATTGGGAAATAATGAACAAAATTTGGATATCTTAATGTTTTAAAAGTGCAAAGTGTAACAATTGTTTTTAAATATCAATATTATGAATGTATAACTCACATAGGTGATATTATGTAATTGTAAATGTATTATTATTCCTGTTGTTGCATCAAAGGAATTTCCCCTTGAGGGATTAACATGTACTTTGAATGGAATTTGGTGTCACGGTTAATTACTATTATTACTTTTTTTTAAAATAATACCATTATTCATTACAATATGTTTCGTTAAATACATTTTTTCAGGTCTGTTATTATCATGTAATTCATCGTTTTTATTCCACATAAAAGAACTCATAAAATGTGTCTTTTATCAATGTCTTTCTTTGTGTATTGAAATCCCTGAATGGGGTTTTGATATTTCATCTGAAAGCATCCTTCAGAAGAGACTTTTGCCCTGTGAGCTCAGACGAGCTTTTAGGTCTTTGTTTATAAACGCTGTGGAAATGATTTAGTGGAATCCTTGAAGGGGGAAACACGAGCAGAGCAAATCTGTTCTCCACAATATTAGTCGAAGCACTCAGCTTCCTCCCACTCCTGCAGAAGGTACAAGGCTACATCTGCCAAATAAAACAAGAGCTGGCATTTCAAGGTAACATCTGCCTGATAGATGCTCAGATATGTTTTCTCATGCACAGAGATTAATTATAGCGGGACCTTGTGTCCTGAGTAAATGGTAGAGTGAGGTAAAGTGGCTGCGTGTTGCAGGTTTTTTTTAAAACTGTGGCACCAGTGTTACCATCGTTGAGTTTTTTTTTGGTGTATATTTCTAAACTCATTGAAACAGCGGTTTCCTGTCTTGTCTTAAAGTGAAGGGGGACGTTTCTTGGGTAGTCCGATGCTCAACTGTGTTTTTAAGTTGTGCAAAAGCTTGAGAATTTATTGACTTTTAATGCACCAATATACAATATGGCTAACAACTGGACCCCAATGCAGGTATTTCTACTTTCCGAGGCCCTCAAAGGTGCACTCATGTACAAACTTTGGGGGTACCACCCCAGCTACAAGACTTGGACCCCTAAAGGTACAATTAGATGCCTATCTTTCTGATTTGTGCATTACTGGAAAAAGGATCTTCATCCTTGACTGATGAGGCCTTTTGCACGCGGTAGACGAAACCTCTGAAAAACCCTGAACTTAGCTCACGGGCTTAATTTGTAAGGATGTTAAACATTATTGAAAGCAGATCATCTCATGACTGCGACTTGTGACATTTCCAAGAAGACATGGGTGAGTCATCCCCTTTTATGTTATCCAGTTTATTTATTCCTGTTAGCTTAGATGTAAAAAAAAAAAAAGGAGCTGGGTTACAAAACTACAATGGCCGCATTTGTTATATATTTTTTAAAGGACACAATGACATCATTCCTGTGCTGAAGCCCCCTTTCATTTCTGTGGAGAAATGCCTGAAAGCAGTACAGTGAAGCGGTTGTCCACAGTCAGAGGGCGCCCGCTGGACCTGAGCTGGACGGCGGTCCCGATCTTTTGCGAGGGGTTGCTGGTTGAAGAGTACGTGCGGCAGAGCAGGTGGGATGCTTCAGTGCTTAGCCCACACGGTAGGACAGGAAATGCCAACAACAGGAAGTCTCAAACTTTAGTTCGTGTTGCAAACCACCGTATTTCCTGTTTAGCTCTGTGCGTGTTACGGCCCGATAACCTCCGCGTGGGTTCGGTGGGTATCAGCTCTTAGCCGTTGGCAGGGGGCAGTCTTGTATCTGAGCTTCGTCCACCGACCCCTCGGGGAGATGGACGGTCATGGTGCAGGCTCGGATCCCCCCCAGGGGCTCCAGCACGTTGAAGACCCGGTCCCAGGCGTCCTGCTCGGGGTCGTAGCGCTGCACGATGTCCACCATGCAGCGGCTGTTCCAGGAGTAGCCCCCCACCACGTAGATCTGCCCGTTGAAGACCGTCACGCCCACGTCGCTCTGGCCCCGGGGCATGGGCGCCACCACCGTCCACTGGTCGGCGTCCGGGCTGTAGAACTCGCAGCCCAGGACGTCGTCGTAGTCGCTGCTGCCCCGGAAGTGGTTGCCGCCCATCACGTAGAGCCGGTCGCCCACCGTGCACATGCAGTGCAGGCCGCGGAGCTCCATCATGTCGGCCCGCCGGCCCCACGCGTCGCAGACCGGGTCATAGCACCATAGCTCCTTCTGGAAGGTGTCCCGGGTGATGCCGCCTGTTTCGGGAAGACAAATAGAAGTAAGGGACGCAATCCAGCTATGGTCCTGGAGTAAGAAAAAAAGATGAAATCTACCAGAATTCGACATGCATTTTGACAAATTCAGGACAGGAAACTCCAAAAAGATCAGCAGAGGTGGTTTGAACATCGCACACAGGGAATTTATTTCAAACATCTTCCTGTGAGGGTCTGAAGCTCAGTTTGAATGTTTTAAGGAGAATTCATCAACCTGCTTTTTAGAAATTTAGACGATTAATTATTTTTTGTGTTTCGACGGCTGCCTAAATTTCCCAGTTTATGATAAAAAGTATATATATAACATTTTTTGCGAGAAGTCTGCAAGACGTTTCTCTCTATCACACACAATGATGTCACTCTCTCTATATTTATTTAGGATGACAAATTTCTGTCACCATTGGAGACTTAAAGCCAATGCTACATATATACATATATATATATATATATATATAGGCATACTTATAAAATTCAGAAATAGGTCAGAGTGATGTTTTTGCATGTTGTGTGTAGTTGGGCTCCACACATACATGCCCACACACTCCTCAGAGGAAGGTGGGGGCGCAGACACCTGTTTGTCTGCTTCAGACTGCGGCTGCAGGCGTGTCAGGGGATTCCTGCCTCTGAACAAAGCTTTGTAGACATCGGCACGAAAACATTCACCGTCTTCTGTCATAAGGAATTGTTCTGAACTGAATTCCTCAGATGCTATCAACCTGAATGGACGATTATCGAGGCTTTATTTCGAATCGTTACCTCACTAGGGGGTGCTGGAATAATGGCGACCTCAGTGTTAACCCCAATATGTCACTGTGAAAGAAACGCTCTGATTCCAAGAAAATCTGTTATGGGAAAGCCTGTTTTCAACAGAATCGCGTGCTATTAAAAAGACTTGCAAGGATACTTTAATATTGAGTCAGTTTTGAGTAAATTTAGTTCTTCTAGCAATATTGTTGTGTTTGAATGTGCAATTAGATGAATAACTGGCTTTACTACAGTAACAAAGCAGTTGTGGGTCATGTGATGCCCCATTATCTGAAGTCTTGTGGTTGGATTCCCAGATGGTCTTTTGCAAAACAATACATGCACGCTGCACCTGATGTGCTCAACAATACGTAAATGCATGACAAAGCTGCATGTCTCCAACAGGAAGTGGTATGTCATGAATATGTATAGTTAAGAGAAACTAAGAAGCGTGTTGTGTAAAGGGTGTGTAAAGGGTGGATGCTTTATATGCAATTTAAATCTGTAACATGCCAAACCATGCCCTGGTTTTATGCATTTATTTATCCTATTCAATGAAATAAAATAGAGTTGATTAGATGAACCTTTGTAAATCAACTACTAAATGCTTTTAAAAAAAGCGTTTTTATTTTTATATAACTTCAATATGTGCTGTTGTTGTTGGTCGTCCTTGTTGATAACTAGATTTTCTATGGGTTTGGGGCCCTCTTGCACATGACATAACAAATTTCAGCTTTAAGTTTATTATATCGTTACATAACACAGACCCCATAACGGAACCAATAACTAATGCGTGTTCAATAGTTTGCGAGGGGAACAGGAAGCTACAGTCAGTGGTGACTCATCTTTCACCGCAGCAAAAAAACAAAAAAAACCTAACGCTCACATGTTAAAAACCATAGCTAACACGTCCAAACGTGCTCACAGGCCCCTGAAGCTGAAGAAATTAATTCCTTTGACTTCAGCTCTGTTCTGTTTTCTGTCCTGTTGCACTTTGTTTCCACCGGGTTTCTCATGTCTAGCTGCTCCTGTTGACTCCGTGACAATGCCAAGCTGCTGTCTGGGCTAACATGTGAGCCATAACACCTCGATAAGAGATAGCCGTTCATTGCCACGCGATCTGAGCTAGTATCGGAGGCAGAGACACAAACTAGTTGAGCAATTTTATGACACGAGAGGGCTCCTGATGAAAACCCAGTATGAGTGGTGTTATATGCTGAATCAAATGGGTGATTAGCAGCACGGTGCTGCCTCTGAGAACTGTCAGGTCTGATTTGATTTAAAAGCGCTGACGCCCACCTCAACCACAGGTCTCCGAGCTTCCTGTTTCTGAAATTGTGTGTGTGAAACCTTTGTGTTTCCTGTCCAAGGTTGCTGAGAAACTGTGCCGATTGTGTGAACAGACAACAAACAGTAAGTTGTTTCAAGTAGGTCGGACAACAGTTTCATTTCTAGATTAGTCTGAGGTTTTTGCCAGCATGCAGCCCAACTAAATGTGCAAACCAGTCATTATTAAAACCCACAGGTTCAATTCTGAGACTGATTTTGACCCGTCGCATCTCTGCTCACAGTTTATTTCAGATGGGTTAGCTATGTTTCAGGGCACTCTACATGGAAATGACCAGCATTCATTAAATAATGACCTGAAATTCAATGGGGAGATATATTCATGCGAGGGCCACAAAAGTCAATTTGTTTGGCTTTCTGGATGCAATCAGCTATGCGAGCAGATGAAAGCTGCGTGGCGAGATGACAGAGCTGTGAAAGACCTTAGAAAGGGAGTGTTTTATGGATGGCCGTGCACAGGAAAATGTGCCGTCGGCTGCACTCTGTGAACAATCAGTGATAGTGTCTCAAATGTCTCATAACTCCAACCATGATAGGGATCTCATAAATGATTTGGTTACTATTACTAATGCTACGTAATTTTAAACTAATGGGTCTACTTCACGACTCACGAAAGTGCCCGATTTGTCCAAATCATGCCAGATGTCCGGCTAGAAAGATGGTCCCTGGCTGCTTTGTCTCACCTGAGATGTACATGAGGCCCCCATGAACGGTGCCGGCATGCCCATAGTGCGGCTCCATCATGCTGGTCACAAAGGTCCACTCATTTTTCTTCAGGTTGTAGCACTCCACTGTGTCTGAAAATCAGAAAGGAGAATCATCTGATTTAATTTCAATGAACAGCTGTAATAAAGCAGCAGTAGAACTGCGTGGCATTTAAGTTATTGGAGCTCTAAGTCTCCCTTTGGTGTGTATACGTTTATGCAATATGCACTAAGAAAGAAAAAGGGTTCAAAGCTTACCAATCTCTCCGGTAGCATTTCTCCCTCCGACTGCAAACAGTTTCCCCTTCAGGGCACTCAGGTGGAAGAAGGTCCTTTTCTCGTTCAGGGAGGCAATCTGGAGCCACTTGTCGAAGCGGGGGTCGTAGCGGTAGGCGCTGTCTATGGCCGTTTTTCCTTTTGTGTCGTACGTGCTCTGACCTGAGGAGTCATCAAGAACAGGCATTTTCCACTTGAAATCATAACTGCCTCAGGAAGGACATTCCTAGATATTTTTTTCACCTATTATTTAGTTTGATTGGACTCATACTATAGCCCTGTGAGGGACTGGCGGACTGTACCCTGCCTCTTGCCCATTGACGACTGGGATAGGCTCCAGCTCTCCCCATGACCCCATTAGGGAATAAGCGGTAACGATAATGGATGGATGGATGGATGGACTCATACTAAAATATCAGAATCGGTTGTGTGTGCGTTGCGTGAGCTGCTGGTGCTCTGACCTCCGACGATGAAGAGGAAGCCTCCCAGGAGAGCCACCCCGTGCTGGTATCGGGGCACCTCCATGGGCTTGAGGGCCCTCCAGTGGCCCGTGTTCTCGTCGTACAGCCTCAGCTCGCGGCTCACCACCAGCTGCTGCCGCATCACCCCGCCCAGGGCCAGGATGTGCGTGGCCTCCGACCGGATCTGCGTCCTCTCGGTCTGCAGGGCGGGCTGCATGTAGGGCATCATCTGGTAGTTGCTGGCCTCCAGCAGGAGGTTGACGCAGGCCGTCTCCGAGCGCATGATGGAGTTGCTCTCCTCCTCGTCGTCCTGAGAGATCTGGATCAGCTCGCCGGGGCTCATGAGCGGGAAACGGATGTGCCGCATCAGGGTGTGCGCGGAGGACTGGCGCCTGGGAGGGTCGTGCTCCAGCCAGCCCTTGGCGATGTGGTAGAGCTCCAGCTCGGAGAACCCTTCCAGGGAGTTGCTGGCCAGAGCACTGGCCATGCTGGCGTCGGAGAGCAGCAGGTAACGGCCGCTCCGCACCAGCTCCCACAGGTTCTGGCTCACGAACTTACCTGAGGAAGGCCAAAGAGCGAGATCGTGAAACGAACTCATCTGTTTTTGCCGAGGCTGCAAAATGTAGTTTGAGTTGAACTCACCTATATTCTCCTTCACATCCTCCAGAAGCAGGTCTATGGCAATGTGCTCAACTTCCACACAGTTATCGATGGTGATCTGTATCAAACAAAACCACAGGAAATAGCTTAAACTAGTCTGCTTTCTATCACCTTCCCTCTTTCTGCTGGTTTATCTTGTCTTCTGCGACCCCGGGTGAGCGTGAAGGGGAATAGCAGGGAAGCCATCGAAGGATGGAACGCGTTGAAAACCCGATGAGCCAGCGGAAACCCACTCACCTCACTGCTCAGAAGCTGATTGCAGAAGTTCAGGACGGGCATGACCTGCAAGAAGTTTGCAGCTTCCAGAGTGTCCTGGAGGTTTCCCATATCGAGGGTGACTTTGGACGTGTAAATGAAGTCTATGATGTTCTTTAAGCCAGACTTAGTGACCCCATGTAGCTTGATCTCCCTCATCTCCTGCTCCCTCATGCCTCCTGAGCGGGAAAAGTGAGTACAAAGGGGCAAAAACAAGGGGGAAAGCATGAATTTGCATTGTTTTAGGGGATTGTTCTGCACTGTCAGCGAGATATAAAGCCACAGCTCACTCTGTAAAGGTTGTCTGCTCTGACTTACAGAGGGTGAGGATTAAAGGATAGATAAGACTGTCTGTGCAGTTTCACAAGTTAACCAGAAGAACGTTTAATGTTAAAGCGAGTCAGAAGGTCAAAACCTGCTTCTTCTTTACTGAGTGATCTAATTGTGAAAGCATTGTGTTGCGGCACAGTTAAAACAAGTAAAACTGCGTTAGATATACTAGGAAAGGATAAGAAAGCAAAAGATGCTGCAATTTAATACCCATTCAAAGCTGGCAAAATGATGACATTATTCATCATATCAGACATGCTTTTCAGTTCGTCTTTAAGCTAATTTGTGTAGCTCGAGGAACCCATTTACATCATTACAGTCGGGGACGGGAACAACGAACCTGTGAACATTGCTTTGAAATAGTCACTGCACGAAGCCATGATGACTCTGTGGACTGGGAAAGCTTGCTTACTGTCCCCAGGAACCAAGACAACATCACAAAGAGTCTCGTCTGCCCGGAAAATGTCAAAGCCCTTTGGAAAAGAGGAGGTCATGCCACGATTGGGTTAATGTGATGCTTTTTAACAACAGTGAAGTGACATTGGATAGATAGAATTCACAAAAAATGTAAGATTTGGACATGCTTGTAGAAAAATCGATGTTTCTTTTGTTGCAACACATTTGAAATGATGCATTAATGTTAAAAAAACACCTGGAGAACAGCTGTTCCGTGCTCGCCGCTGCTGAAGGTCTTGGAAAGGGGTTTGGGTGGAAACTTTGGCTTGGTGGCCTTGTCGGGACGTTTGGGGGGCATTTCCACCGGTGGGGGGAGATGAACCAGGGCTGGAGGTGGGACTGGAGGCAGGACGAACGCCGGCGGAGGATACCCCTCATCTGCAGAAGAGAATGACGAAAACAGGGGAAATGAGTCATGGTAGAGATGGAGTTCAGTGGTTCAGAGGGATTCCTCCAGATGCAAGATGTCCTTAAAGAAAACTTGGTTTACAAATCTTTAAATACTTTTTCTTGTCGTGTGATCTGAAATAAATTGTACAAAACAAAGCGATCTTTATCTGCTTCCTTATTTCAAAGCCAGCTTGGCTTTGAAGTGTAGTGGTTTTCTCCGGTTATGGGGCTCTTTGAGCACCAACATCTCAGTGAGCACGCACCTTCGTTAACAGGGGGGGCCGGAGGTCTCTCGGACTGGGCTGCAGATCTTTGAGGATCCCTGGAGTGTCGACCGCCCAGACGGGACAGTGTTCGGCTCAGCCTGCTCGAGCCACTGTCCTCCCCACTTCCGCTGGGGAGGAGAAGGTGTAACGATCACTGACGCTGATTTGTGCTTTTTCAGAATGAGAATAATAACGACAGTGGATCTGCATCGAAACAGAACAGTGGCCTCGGAAGTATTAGCTTATCATGGAGGATAAAATTAAGCAATTATGGACCAAACTGATCCACAAACACACTGGTTCTGACAGTAGAAGAGTATGGCCTGTACTCTAAGTTACTTTACTCTTGCAATTTTCTTCACTCTCACTTTCCCACGGCCTAAAGCCTCATTTTGGCTTAAGATGTCCAAGTTGAAACAGTTAATCATGTATCTGCTCCAGTGTTTTTTACTGAATCATCATGGTCAGTTTTTTCTGTTTTGAGTGTGAAGATCTAAAAAAAGAGGAACTGGTTGGTAGATGTCAAGCACTTCTCATTTTGCAACTGCGAAAACACCAACGAACACAGTGAGGAAAAAAACACTGCCACTCATTCAAAATGACTTACCGACATGGGGCATTATTTGTGATTTATTATTTGTGATTTTTTTTTTATCAGCCAGCCAGTAAAAAGTCTTTGATAAATCAATTTAAATTTTTTTTTTAAATATGACGTATTGTATTTATGTGTCCATAAATGTTAAGCAAAGGTGTATTTATGTATGAGGTTAATTTTGATCATATAATGTTGCAGAGAATGTGCAACAAAAAATGTTGGACATAAACATGTAAATACAGAAACCCAGAGGCCTTACCCCATTTCATTGGCCCCGGGGGGTTGAGGGCTGTTGTTGCGGTGGTGAGACTTCCTACAGGGAGGAAAAAGTCGAGCTTTAGTGGACAAAACTACATATCTGGGCTATATGAAGTGTGTTGAGCCTATCTCAGATTTACAGTTGGCATTTCTTCGAAAAATAAGAGGAAACTGACTGACAATTTCCTGCTTGATCAATAAAGTTCTTATCTTAAAGTAGATAATCAAAAAACAAAACAAAAGGACAACAATACCACCAGTAAATGGCAAAGATCTGACATGTTCCACTGGTTACTTTGGTTATTTTTGATAAATTGATTTGAGCTTATTGTTACACCTGCATCGCCCTGGTTTCTTTTGACATTCATTTTCCAAGAGGATCTAATTCTGTATATAATTCATATAAAGAATATGAATAATTGAAATTGTTTGTGGGAATGTTAAGTTCATAACTTCATGACAACATTTTCTTTGTTTCTTCAGTTATTTTGTGCAGATTTAACAAAGAAGTAGAGAACATAAAACATAAAAACACTGACCTCTAATCCAATATGTTATCACTTCAACCATGAATACAGTCTTTCAAAATATGCATGTGAAATATTGCAACCTCACCAAAAAATGTTTTATGGAACTAGTTCTACAAAATAAATTAGATTGAAGACTACAGAATTACTTCAGTTCTGTATCATACAAAACATTTTCTTGCAGGCCTCACTCTTGGAACACTGATCATATATATATATATATATATATATATATATATGTGTGTGTGTGTGTGTGTGTGTGTGTTTACAAGGGAGCCATAAAACAGTAAATATACTTTAGAGCAGAAAAACAAAACAAAAAACGGACGTTTATCAGGAAGAAAAATAAAAATCCTGAACAGAAAGCAAATTTAGCAATCAGAAAGAATCAAAAGCACGAAGCCTAAATCCACCACAGAGACCAGATGAAACAGATCTACGTACATGTGAACTAAACGAGAATTAGCGACACTTTACGTGCTTTGTGGGCCCCTCGCTCACATGAGAGTTGGACCTAAACAAAGTGTGTTTGGCCTACCTGGAAGAAAGCCTCCTCAGAAGACTGGACCCCAGGTTTCCCTCCAGCCTGACCTCCTAACCAGACAGAACCCCGAGAAAAAAAAGACGGCAGAAAATGTCTGCTGCACCTCTCCAGCCGGGCGAAGAGTCGGAGGGTCTGAGGGAGCATCACCGACTCTTCAACACGACCGAGACCTCAGTCACTTCCTGTGCCACTTCCCTTTCTCGCTCTGCGTCTTTTCCGCATCTTGTTCTCCACAAAGCAATGTCAACAGTCATGATACTGCTCACAAAGTGTTTTTAAGGCTCTGGAGAAAAACCCTACTGACACACTCTAAAGGCCTCAGCTTACCTGGAAACCTGACCCCCTAAATGGTCAAATGCTCTTACCTTTGATGACCAAACTTTTCGTTATCACGCTTTGCATGAAAGCTGAAAATAAAATCTGTCAAACAGTCACTGAAATATAATTTTTCACCTTCATCTTGACGTGAATTCATCAGGAAATTCCCATGAATAAAAGAAAACTGCCAGAAATGAAGAAATCCAGAAGAGAACAGACCTTCTTTTCCCTTTTGCAGGTATGTATTTATTCAAGCACTGGCATTCAAACTGTCAGGCAGTGTGTCATTACACGGTATATTCATTACAAGGAAATCAAAAGCAAATAGTTATGTGATAATAGGTGCATCCATCCGTACTACTTCGAAATCCAAACATTTCCATTAAATTTGCCACCAAACCTCCCGGGACGTTCTGGAACTCCTGCTCTCTGGTCTGAGTCAGGCTCAGCTTTATTCCTCACACGCACCTTCTGGTATGACTGTAATCATCTCAAAATTGAGCCTCTTTTTTGGTCAAATCTCCCTCTGCTGGCGAGTCAGAGTCTGGAGAACTGGATCAGGTTCCTGTTGATCTCAGCTACGTTCCTGCAGCCTGGATCGGGGAAACAACGAGCAGATGGTTTTGGCGCGGGCCCCTCTTCGTTTTTTTTTAGCCGTTCAACCACTCAGACTCACCGGATAAAGCCATGGACAGACGGAACTCGTCGTTCAGGATCTGGAGCACCTCCTTCACTCCTTCCTCCCCCTGAGAGGTCCCATTGTGAGGAGATAGTTAGGATCATGCTTCATTTTCAGTTTGAAAGACGTCACATGTAATCATCACACTTATAGGATGTTCATTCAGTTTTTTCTTAAATTCTTTGAGGCATTAAAAACAACATTTTTCACCAGTCTGATTTCAGATTTTTGATCATCCACAGACATCAACCTAACATTGAGGTTTTTGAATTGTGGGGAAGAAGCTAAAACAGGTGGAGAGATCCTCAACTAAGAAAAATCTGGAAAAATGGCAACACTAAAAAAAAAAACTTAGGCAGTTTAAAAGGATTTATTGTAAAAATAACATAGTCTAAGTGAGGAAATTCCATTGGTCCTGTCAGGAGATTAAATGAAAAGCACAACCTTACCTTGTACGCAAGGCCCCACACCACCGGGCGGCCAATGAACACACACTTGGCTCCCAAGGCTAAAGCTTTCAGCACGTCGCTCCCCGTTCGGATCCCTCCGTCCACGTAGACCTCAATCCTGCCCTGGACTGTGTCCACAATCTCTGCCAGTGCATCAATCTGATAGTAACGAAGAAGAACATTTTACACGACTACAACTAAAAAGCTCCACCGAGTTCTCTGATCACAGAATATCTGCAAACGTATGACGTTCTAAGCTAAACCTTCTCTATAATTAATCATACGGATGCTTTATCTGCTTAATTTGCTTTTTCTTGGAGCATGACTGTGCATTTTTCCCAGCTCCAGCAACACCTGCCCCACTCAAATGGGTTTCCATCAGCTTTCTGAAGAGCTCAATGGGCTTAAAAAGTAGCCTCATTTATACAGTATGATGCTAGTTAGATAACAGTAACGATGCAATCCTGAGGACCTACTTAACCCTTTAAAGCCTGATCCAAGATAAATAGGAAGAATATTGGATGTTTTTAGTCTGAAGTCTTTCTTTGGCCCCTCAACAACATATGAAGAAAAAAAAACTGAAATTAATTCATCAAATTAGCGTGCAATAAATCCAAAATATATTTTGGTGTAGTCTTCTACTGGCTGTTATCAGGTATATCTGAACAACAGGGGTTTGAGCAAAGCTTTTACCACTGAATGATGCAAAAAGTCTCAGATCCAAAAGACTTCAGAAACCGTATGTATCAAATATGATACATTTGGCATTATAGGGTTAAAAAAATCCTCATTGCTTTACTTTGGCTCTTATCCCTCACAGCACAATGGCCTCCACAGAGGTTCCAGAGTCCCGGAATGTTTCTCAGATCTCATTTCCACAAGTCCTTCGTCTCGACTGAGTCATCGGGGGCCTATTACGCATTCCCTGACGTAATCTTATCAGGGGGAACTCTCTGTCTACGGAGAGTGCAGAACATCATGCGTGACCACCATCCTGCCCATCACTTGTTCCACCTTCTACCCTCAGGTAGAAGGTACAGGTCCCTTCAGAGCCGGACCAAAAGACTGGCCAACAGCCTATACCACCAGGCCATAAGACTTTTGAACACACAGCACTTTTGAGGAACGGACTGCCTAATTCTGAATGTTTTGCCTTATTCATTAGGGTGTATTTATCCTGTGTGTGTGCGTGTGTGTGCGTGTGTGTGTGTATGTGTGTGTGTGTTGGGGGGGGGCAAGCATTATGGCACTTAATAATCTTTGCTGCACTTTAAGTGGGATGGAGGGGGGGGTTGGAAGGGGTCAAGCACTGGTGTCACTTTTACCTCTTGTGCACTTTACTTGGAACTTGCTGCTACTAAGTGTTGTATCCCAAACACAATTTCGTTGCCTTTTTTGACAATGACAATAAATTATTGAATTGAATTGAATTGAATTGAATTGAATTGAATTGAATTGAATTGAATTGAATTGAATTGAATTGAATTGAATTGAGGGGCGGCACGGTGGTGTGGTGGTTAGCACTGTCGCCTCCCAGCAAGAGGGTTCTGGGTTCGAATCCCGGGGGAACCAGGACCTTTCTGGGTGGAGTTTGCATGTTCTCCCTGTGTCTGCGTGGGTTCTCTCCGGGTTCTCCGGCTTCCTCCCACAGTCCAAAAACCTGCATGTTAGGCTGATTGGAGATTGGGGAAATTGCCCTTAGGAGTGAATGTGAGTGTGAGTGGTTGTTGGTCCTTGTGTGTGTCTGTGTGGCCCTGCGATAGACTGGCGGACTGTCCAGGGTGTACCCTGCCTCTCGCCCGTTGACCACTGGGATAAGCTCCAGAATAAGCGGTATTGATAATGGATGGATGGATGAATTGAATTGAATTGAGATAGCGGGGATAGAGGATGGTGGGTCTGTACCGAGGCCGGGCCCCCGTCCAGCTGCCGGCCCCCGTGGTTGGACACGATGATGCCCTGGACGCCGTGCTCCACGGCCAGCTCGGCGTCCTCCTTGGTCAGGATGCCCTTGATGATGATGGGCAGGCGGCTGATGGACTGCAGCCAGTAGACGTCCTTCCAGCTGATGGAGGGGTCCAGAGTGTTGGCCGGCACCCCGTACTCCTCCGGGACGGCATTGTCCTGCTTAGGGAGCAGAAACAGAACGCATTTTAAGTATGTTTGGAGTTAATTTTTAAACCCTGTAATGCCAAATGTATCATGTTTGATACGTACGGTTTCTGAAATGTTTTGCGTTTTGCGACACCTTTTGCATCATTTAATGGTAAAAACTTCGTCAAAATCCTATTGTACACAAATAGATATACCTGATAACAGGGGGCAGAAGACTACACAAAAAATAATTTTGAGTTATCGAAGAGTAATAAATTATTAATATTAACATTTTGTTTTTGTTTTTTGTTTTTACATATTTTGTTAAAGGAATAAGGAATTCAAACCAAAAAAATGTAATTTTCTGTTTTGTTTTACTCTTGGATCAGGCTTTAAAGGGTTAACTGTTTGAGGTAGGCCCATATGATACAAGTCATATGGGTCAATTTCAGATTTAATTAATCAATTTATACATTTATAACTTGTACTAGCAATTTAGAAAC